ATTTATATATATATACACCTATATTTATATTTATGCATATTTATAAGTATGTAGGGACATCTACGTTATGAGTTTTTGCTTTGGCGACGCATCGATATTGCCAGCATTCATATAGAGTATTTAAATCTGGATATTTTTATGTCTATATCTTATGCTTTATTGCGATATCGCCATTCATATAGATACTGGTATATCTCATAGTACCATCACAACCTGAAACATTTTGTGTATATATCTGTCCGTCGTTTCAATACAGTATGGCTGGCGAGTTCAGGGGCAAAGTCGGTGTGAATGCGCTCTGGCCACGTACCGCCATCGCAACAGCAGCCGTCCAGAACCTCCTAGGAGGAGACGAGATCACCAACATGTCGCGCAAGCCTGAGATCATGGGAGATGCAGCGTATAGCATACTTACACGTGATATGAGTATTTGCACGGGTAACTTCTTTGTCGACGATGAGGTGATGTATTCGGAGGGTGTTCGAGATCTGGACAAGTATGCGGTCAAACCGGGAACGAAGCTGGCGCCAGACTTCTTTGTTGAGCCTGTAGATGAATAGGCCATGTGTGCGTGGAGACTTCTTTGATACTGTGGGTGAGCAGGCACGTACATAAATGGATCTGAATACATATTTAATGTGTATAGGTTTTTTTAGTCGTCTATAAGGGGATATGTCGTGCAGCAATATTAATGAGTATGCAGCCAAACTGGAGCTAACGTTCATGCCAGATTTCAAGTTGAATTCGGTATATATGGTCCTGGATAAATGGACTATACTTGTGCATACGCTGAACTAGCACTGTATTTGAACAAACACATATAATACGAATTGATTGTAGTATGATTTGAACAAAAGGAACTTCTTTTTCATTCCCGTTGCTTTAATATAAGATGCATGTTGAAAATGTGCAAATATTGTACAATTTATTTTGTGGCTTGGCAGAGTACCCAGATATTCACACAAACACGCAAGTATATATATATATATACTATCTATCTATCTATCTATCTATATATCTATCTATATGTCTTAGGCGAGTTCAAATTTACTGTATCCGAAAGGATTGCGCTCATTAATATGCCTGCTATGTCCTCACTCATTGGTTTGTTTGCCGAGCCGTAGTAGCTCGCGACAATGGTAGAGACGTTTCCAACCGGTCGAATATCTGACCCATGGCCGGGGCTCACCGCCCAGTGCCTACCGCCCACCAGGCCTTCATATGTAGTGATATTTAGTCCTAATGACGAAGAGGCTAAGATGCTATGTATTTAAGTCCAATAAATACTATGTAAATAGTCCAAAATCCAAATACTATATTTAAAAATAAAAAAAATGTATGTAGAATTGAAGAGCTATAGATACACACTCTGAGTTTAAATTTGGAGCCGGGAGTGCCCAATTATTTACATTCGCCAGGAATCAGGAAGCTGTATACTACACAGTCTATAAATCGATCATGACAAACTAGTATAAAAGCACGATCCCGTTGCTTGTACTATATATCAGTAACTGACTAGCACACTATCATCAACCCAACTAAAGCAATCACAATGAGAGTTAACACAATCACTATTGTTGTGGCTGCTTCAGTCTGTAGTGCCATGCCTGTGACATAATACCCTCTCTTGCAACAACCGTCAGCACTTTCTTCGTCTGCAGGACGTCTCGATGTCGATCTCACTGTGAGTGCCGGTAAGGTCCAGGGACCGTTCGGCATAACATACAACAGTAGACTTTACAATAATGTATATCCAGCGCCGACTATCCGCTGTCGAGCTGGAGATACGGTACGGGTCAAACTCAACAATGAACTACAAGACAACAACTCAACTCGAGAGAGCGAGATGTCGCTGAATGAATTACACCACCCGAATAGTACAAATCTACATCTTCACGGTATGCATATATCCTCCGAAGGACACCAGGATAGTGTGGGGCTAAGTATCGAACCAGGGTTCTCGTTCCAGTACGTCTATGAGATAAACCCAAAACATCATTCCGGGACCTCCTACTACCATCCTCATCTGCACGGTAGCACAAATCTTCGAGTGCATGGTCTAATGGCTGGCGCTTTCATTGTAGAAGATGATCCAAAGAAAACATCACCTGATTTGCTTGCCATGGACGATTTGGTAGTCATGGTTCAGGGTATCTACATGGGCAACAGTAAAGTTTTTAATGAAAACATGCGATCATAACGGAACAAGCAACATGCCAGTAGAGCTCGAAAACCCGGAGCAAGTGTCAGAAAATCTGCTTATAGTTAATTGTCAGTACATGCCGAGAGTCGAGTTCAAAATAGGTGAACTTAAGCGTCTAAGAGTTGTAAATGGGCTCAGCATGGAGGCACTCATGTTTGGATTGTCGGATGATGACGCGTGTGACATCTATGAGCTCGCAAACGATGGCGTATAACTTGAAAGACCACGTGCTGCCACCAAGTTATTCATACCTTCCGGCGGTCGAGTGGATGTTGCGGTACAATGTTCAGCATCGGGCTTATTCTCATTGACCACTGTTGCCGATGAGCGGCTGGCTGACTACGCAAAAATCTGGGGACCAGTTCCTGGTCAACCGTGCAACATTACCAACACCCAAGCGCTACTTATGATTGATGTATCCGACAAGGTTAGTATCATGGAGCTCCCTATAGTGTTGCCAGCACTACCGAAGTATCTACAAAAGGTACGCAGCCAAAGTAGCAACAAACATTCGAAGTGGAAGACTACATTTTCAGTTGAGTTTTCCACAACAGAGGGAGCGAATGCCATCAATAATCAGCCATTCAATCCCACCGAAACGCTCAACACCATTCAATTAGACAAATACTATCAATGGAATCTGTCCGCAGGCGAAGACTTCCAGGAAGGCGCGGGCTATCCCCAACACCCATACCATCAACACATCAACCACTTTATGATCACCAATGACGACCCAATTACCGATGGTATGCTTTTCCGCAAAGGTGACTTCCGCGATACCATCCCACTTTTTGCCAGTACGCCTGTGGACTTTCGCTTCTATACGGCTGACTATGCTGGACCTATGATGCTGCACTGTCACAATCTTGCACACGAGGACAAGGGTATGATGGGCGTTGTAGGCATTCAAAAATAATTAAAAAAAAATAAAAATCCTCGAAGTCCATAAGCAGACTAGAAATACACATACTGACTCATCGTCGAGCGTTGACATTTGCCTGTATTCTGAAGCAGCTAAAAGGTACTGTCCGGAAACACTAAAATTGTTGTCATATATTAAACGGATTAACTAAAATCTATTTGGACTATTGTATGTCTCATATTCAAGCCGTCGACATTTATTTTGTCGACACATTTCGGAATTATAAGGTACTAATCTTTTTATTCTGTTCTGAATCTTAATATTCTGATCTACAACGAAATCAGTCAACTGCCTAGTAAAAGATTTTATTATATTTACATCTGAGATTGGAATACATTGACCTCGTCTAGCAGATTGGTAAGTTCGTCCCCTTTAACACGTCCCAAGCTTTGCACAAGATACTTGGCTTCTCCCTCTTCCTTGGGCGTGAGGTTTGCCAGGGAGGCTTTCTCGAACTCCTTGAGTGCTCTCTTTCCGTCGAGTATTTGCCGCACAGACGCGACAGATTCCTTGTTCTTGAAGGGACTGTTGTGGGTTTGAGTATGTGCGAGGGTGTAGTACATCAGCTATGATACTATATAAGAATAGCCGTGGTGTAGATGAGTTAATAAGTATGCTCCCTTAACGCTCTCTTCAGCTGTGATAATATACAAGTAAGAAAGACTAATAGACTCGAAAATCAAATGTTCTTTACCACTATTTGTCGCATAGACACGGCATGATTTTTTTCTTCATCTTGAGAATACTCAAGTAGAAAAATCCAAAAAAGAAATATGCGTAGCGTAAATGATTGTAATACTCTTGACAGTGTTACTCGCATATACGCCAACATCACATAGTACGCGTATAGTGACCGTCTTCGGGCACGCAGATAGTACGATAATAATAGAAAGGGAATGCGTACAGGTTTCTTTAGTGCACGACGGTATTATGTATGAGCGTTGGTGAGCAGTTAAATTGGCCTAGAACTTCAGCAGAGCTACAGAAGAATTAAATCATATTTGGCTGACATACACCCCTCTGCAGTACATGTAGTACGAGTATGTGCCTATAACATCACGAAACCATCGAATTTTAAGAAAACGTGGAAACAACCACCATCAAAATCCGTGTTTGAGGTACACACTATCGTCGGATGATTCATCTGAATGTGACATACCTAAACCTCCGACAGTAGGCTAGTGACTGGTCAAGCGACTGTCTGTTGCTGTTTTTCAGTCCAATCAACATCATATCTTCGTCTTCTTCGTCTAATTGTTTTCGCTGTTCCAGAAGAAACTATGTAATTTGGCAAGTATTAGCATCCAGCAAGTGACCATGTAAAGATCATTCAAATATGCATCTCTGCACACAATGCACGTCGTTCGCGAGAAGCCAATTGTTCGCTGTTAATGTCTTCATGTGCATACACAAACAAATGAAGACAGTAACTCAAATTAAGGCTCATTGACAAGTGAGATGCTGCAAGCATTGCTATTTAGCACACAATCTAATATCGCAAGGCTATGCAGGAGAGTCTGCACCAACATGGAATATCCACAAGACAAACATCACATGCGCATATACAAAGAGTGCTAAGACACATAAATAATAGCACAAAGTGACTCACAAGGGCTTGGGATATAGTTATCTTCTTTCAAGCGATATACTATGGAAACACAAACTCGCGTACTTTCTAGACTCTCTTGTCGTTACCAATAAATGTTGAATCTATTTCTCATTTAATATGCGCTTTTAAGATGTTCAATCTGGATTTGGAACACTTACTATGAAGGTGGTATGTATGGCATAAACAGTCAAACGTGAACCCTGAATATATAAATATATATACATGTAT